TTTGCACAAAAATTAGTAATGATTTGTTTGAAATATTCACAAAATTCTCAAATATAAACAAACTTAAGCGCATAATTGCATATTGTCGCAGATTTGCACGAAATATGAAACGCAATCAGACAAAACTAGTAGGGAACTTAACTGTAGAAGGGCCGAATGAGTCGTTCAAAATCATTTTACGAATTACCCAAGAGGTGAAGTTGGGCGTGGAACTGCATCAATTAAAATTTAAAAAGGAAATAAAGTCTAATGTTAAATCTCTAAATCCATTTATTGATGGGGAAGGTATAATACGGGTGGAAGGAAGCATCCTATCATTTTTCCAAATAAATCACATATTACGACGATAATATAATCGTCTGATTATATTATCGTCATAACATGAGCACGTTAGGTCGCTTCAGTTTGCGGGAAAGATTTTTATTAGTCAACAGTAATAGGGAAATTAAGAACGTATGTACTTCATAAATGCGTCACCGGTTTTAAATTAAAAGCTAAAAGGCTATGGAACAATTAATTGGATCGCTATCAACAGATAGAGTGGCTGAGGCTAGAGTGTTCCAGAAGGTGTGTGTTGATTTTGAAGGACCCTTTTATATAAAACAGATAACAGTCCGCAGATCAATAATAACGAGAGCCTATAATGCTTTATTTGTATGTTTCGTAACACATATCGACATTGTGTCAGATTTGACCACAGAAACTTTTATAGCCGCGGTAAAAAGATTTATAGGAAGAAGAGGTGTTCCATCAGTAATTTATAGCGATAGTGGGACAACATTTAAAGGTGCGAATAATGAATTAAGAGAATTATATCAATTATTTATGTCAAGAGATCATTGAAATAAGGTAGAAAATACCATAGCTAGCTTATAGTCCAGGCTAAATAGCTCTAATAGTATATTAAGTAATAAGGGATTAGAAAGAGTTTTTGTTCCTGAAAGAATGGTTTAATATTCTTGAGGGAACAAAAACTAGTTTAATCCAGTGTTACTTATACTATTTTTTCCAATACCGACCGATCTGAATCCATTTGAAAATTAAACATGCTATAAAAAAATATGAAAAAGTAAGGTAGGTTTTTTAGGATGTCATAGTTACGCTCGCTTGTTTGTAACTGTCAATAAAAATTAAGAATTTTTTATTTTAGTAAAATCATGCCTTAAACCCTTCTACAAATATTGAAGACGAAAGTGACGAAGCATATGAAGGCGCTTCTTTCATCCCCTAAGATGTCACTTGTTGATAAAGGTTAGTTTGTGTAAAACATTGCATGCTCATGCTTCCAAAGTTTGTGGTTGTAGATTGTGACAATTATGGATATTGGAGGAAGTTGCAGTTTGCAGATCAGAGGAATTGTTAAAAATGAACGTAGGCAACATAGAAGATGGAGAATCGATGCTGGTAGTTAGAATTCTAGATACAAAAACTAAAAGTCAAGAGTTTTTACCATTGTTGAGGCGGAGAAGAACTCAGTTATTTGGCATTATATAGGAAGATCTGGATGTACCACTAAGGCCCTTTATAAATTGTGCTTTTCATATTACCTGTTCTCAAAATAAAGAAAATGAATAGGTACTTTCTGAATGTTTTACAAGAAATCTGAGGGATTAAAATTACCTATTACTGCACAAAAATTGGGGATTAAATTCAATAAAAACGCGTCGGCATTGGAAAAAATAATTAATTTTCAAAAAAAATTAGTTACCGGGCGAAACCGGGTTTTTCATGCAGGTGAAATGAATAGAAATTGGGAAAAAATAATTAAAACAGCTGAATTTTTCCGCGGGTGAAATCACGGGGGTTGAAAGGGGTGGAAGTGGTGTTTTGCAAATTGTGGCAAAACTATTAATTTTAGACGAAAATGTTAAATGTAAAAATTATAGAGATTAAAAAAATGAGCAACTTTTGTATCTACACTATTTTCACATAACCTCCAATTTTCCTAGAAAAACCGGAAACATGGTTTTTTTCGTTTTTTATTCTTATTTTTGCGAAAAAATGTCGTAGGGGTTTGAAATTTGGAGGAAACATAGCTTGTTTTATGATAAAGAAGAAGATAATTTTTTGGTCCTGTAAAGTTGAACCGTTTCCAAGATCTCACGATTTCTGAAAAAAACGACCTATTTTTCAAGGGGACGAAAAATCTATTTTTTTCATCGTACAGAGGTGCGTGGGGTAGCAAAATTTTCGTAACGACTTACATTTTAATAATCAAAAATATTATTCCAATAGAAAAAGAAAAGCGGCAAAAACGTGGGGAACAGTTTTAAGGTATATTGTTTTTGACAGTAGGTAAAATAGCTTTTCTTGCAAATAAATTAACGTATTGGATCCGCGCCAATAAAAAGTTTTTGAAATCTGTCTTCTCTCCCCTCTTTAATGTTGCTAAAATATGTTCTTTTATTTCCCAGTGCCCAACTGCCTTAATTAAAACATCTTTATTATTTCTTTTTTCTGCATTTGGACCGCAATAAAAGCAATTCGAAGTAAAATCGCATTCTTTTGCTTCCCGAACAATTTGTTTTTGTTCAATAACTCTTCTTCCTGTCTGTTTTACATCTTATGGGATTAAGCTGGTCCTGTTGATCGTTTTATAGGATTTATGAATAAAACCCTCATAAAGTTTATTCCAGGTTTTACATCTCAAATCATTTGCTTTGGTCAATGGCCGGTAAAACTAACGTCCTTATTTCAGATTTTGCAAGTTTTCAACAGGCCCAACGCAATTGCATCAGCTATAAAACAGGCAGGAAGAAGAGTCAGTGAACAAAAAGAAATTGTTCAGGGATCAGGAAGCAAGATAATCCGATTTTATTTCGAATTGCTTTTATTGCTTTATAAAAGCAAAGCGTGCTGGAAAATTGTAAACAGTTTTCGAAATAATTTTCGCGGCCATTATAAATCTGATCAGATGCATAATGATACCGCAGAACAATTTAATGATTTCTTTATTAACATTGTTACAGAGATTGTAAATAAATCTACCATCAGCAGTAACTTGTTATTTACAAAGTACCTTGGCACAGCTACCGTTGATCAAACCTTTGGATTTGTAGAGGTGAGTCAAAATGCTATAAGAGATGCTCTTAGAAGCATAAAAGTTAAATACACTTCAGATGTCTTTGGTATCACCACTGCAGTAATGAAATCGGTAACAGACATTATTAGGTATAGGCCCATCAACTAAGTTAACAAATGAAATCATACAAACCGGATGTTTTCCTGACATTTTAAAACTGTGAAAAGTTATACCAATTCCAAAATGTGATCAAGCGATAGAACTAAACAAATTTCGACCCGTCTCCATTCTTCCTACTCTCTCGAAAGTGGTGGAAACTGTACTAAAAAATCAGATTTGTATGTATTTTGAAAAAAATTAACTATTCAATACTAACCAATTCGGATTTAGAGCAGGGATGTCTACCTCGTTGACCATCAATAATTTAATTGAAATGATTGTGGAAGGGTTCGAAGCAAATTTAAGCACCGTTTCAATCTTTTGTGATCTTCAAAAAGCTTTTGACTGCGTTACCTACGAAATTCTTGTAAATAGGTAAGCTTATTCACTACGGTGTACGATGAAAAAAAATAGATTTTTCAAACCCCTACGACATTTTTTCGCAAAAATAAGAATAAAAAACGAAAAAAACAGTTTTTCCGGTTTTTCTAAGAAAATTGGAGGTTATGTGAAAATAGTGTAGATACAAAAGTTGCTCATTTTTTTAATCTCTATAACTTTTACATTTAACATTTTCGTCTAAAATTAATAGTTTTGCCACAATATGCAAAACACCACTTTCCACCCCTTTCAACCCCCGTGATTTCACCCGCGGAAAGATTCAGCTGTTTTAATTATTTTTTCCCAAATTTCTATTCATTTCACCTGCCTGAAAACCCCGGTTTCATCCGCTAACTAATTTTTTTTGTCAAAAAATATTATATAGCATGGACTATTAGGGATTCAGTGGATTCATTCCCGCGTAGTCGCCTGTATTTAGGGGGCTATGAGAACCTGGAATAAAGTCAGCTAAACATTATCCATTGTGTCAACTTTCTAATGATATGATGATATAGATAATTTCATACAAAGTACGTGTTATTTTATGGAGTCGCAAATGAATGGGAGGTGTTGGTGACTATCATTTACAATTTAAAGCACTAATTTTAACAATTCGAAGCATCGAGACTGAGCAAGAATTGTGAAACAAAATTGGTACCACGATTTACGCTTCCTCTCTGTTTGCACTTTCGGAAAAATCTGTTTACCGTTACTTTTGTTTAGTTTTCTTCAGGATCGCTCGAACCTGTTCCTCGAAACGGAAACGAAAACTTACAAGCCTGTGGAAAAAAAATGTACCTATTGCGTGTCTACGCGAAGCACAACGGTTGCACATGTGCACAGAAAATAAACAATAAATTAGGGGAAATTACTATGAATGTTAAAAAATACCTCAGTGTTTAATAATTATCTTGCGAAAATAGGGTTTCAAAAACCTAAGAATGGTTATGGTCAATTAAGATAAATTAACTCATTTTTAGAGATAGGATAGCGATTAGACATCGAATAGAAAAGTAGGTATATTAAAATTGAGGAGGTTACTGATAATCCAATTGAACAGAAATTAAAATTGGCCAGTTATAACAGCGATAGTCTAAAATGCCACAAAAAATTGGGATGTGGACCAATTTTAAAAAGAGGCGCACTCTTCATTTTTCCCTGCATCAATTGGGATATCTGCCCAGTTAGTTAGACCGAAAATTCAGAAATTATGTTTCAAATCCGCCCACATTCGCATTATTTATTCCACCTAAAGAGGTATCAATTAATACCCTCCCACATTCCACACAACCTGTAACTGCCCATTTAAAGTTAATGAACGGCATCCACACCTAAGCGGCTTCGGTACTTATCGGCGCTAGTCATTATATGAGAAATAGCTTTTAAGCCTATCAAGTAATTAAGTTAGTAATTGCTTTTAGTGTTGTGAAAACGTCAGTTCTTTTTTCCTAGTAGCGTTTAATTGTGTCTACTCATTAAAAGGTTAAACATGCTAAAGGTTACAAGTAGATATTGTAAATTTTTATATGGTAGATACATAATTTAAGTTTTGTATACCGCTAACATTTACAATACATAATGAGTATATTTTATGTATAAATGTACAACCTCCTCATGCCTCAAATATTCAAAGTCGTGCAACATCCGGATATGGTAGAAAAAAACTAAATAATATAAAAGTATGTAACGTGGTTCCTCTATCCCAAAACAATTTTAACGCTCACACGGGATAGGGGGCCTATTGTAAAAAAAATGCTTGAGGTACAAATAAGAAAAGTTCCAATAGTGTTTCTTAAACTATTATGACGTAGAGGGTTGGAATATTTGATTAATTCGTATAGGCACCCAGGAACGCGTTACAGCTGGGACAGTAGTGATTCTTGTTTTTGCAGGAGTCCATAAAGTAGGGAATACAGCAGCATCTGAAACAAAGACGAATTTAGAAATGATGTGCGTGGTTTAGTAGTAGGTAGTAGTAGTAGAAACAGTGGCGCTTGGCAAGGTAAGTAGTAGAGAAGTGGCCCCATTTTCTGAGGATACCGAAAATAGCACTAGCGTTTGGCACCTGTTGATATAGTACTTTTTTCAATTCGAATGGCGAAAAATTCGTTCAGTAAGAAAATGGGCCAGCATTGACGTGGGCAAACGTTTTTTTTTTTAAATCCAAACTCTAACCTTCTGCTGGTTAGTTGCCAAGAAAGAAACGTGCGCGCAGCAACAATACTTTTTGGTTAAAAGCAGACCATCCATTTCTAAATTTAGATCCTGAAAGACTAAGATTTATAGCAACTTTTCTATTTCTTATAGTTTGATTACGTAACTCAGTTCTATAATTAAAATGAAGCTCCAATATAATGAAATAAGCATTCCGTTGCGACATGGTCTTGTCTATAGTAAACACGGTTAGTTAGCTGATTGTTTCAACATGATTTGGTATAATAATTGCAGCGCTGCTGGAAAGTACTTATCGCAAATTTATTATCGCTTTTAGTAAAGGAAATAGTAATATGGAAAACGTCTGCAAGGCCCGGAAATATTCGCCGAGCCCTAAGAACTAAACCGCTTTCTGGGCCGATACTCATTGAAACTGTACGAGATATTTATGTTCAGCAGGATTTGAAGATCAAATGACGACCCAATCGATAAGAAAAATCAGGGAAGAGAAATTGTCCGGATGAACCAGACGTTCAGACTTTTTGACGCAATACTCGTACTACTACTTAATAAACCCGCGCAAATGCGAGCTTTTGTACTACCCTGTCTCAGAGGATTCACCTACGAAGCCCAGAATTGAATTTTTAAGTTATGGATCGACTGATGGTTTGGTAGCAACCCTTTTCACCTTACTGCCCTGTAACTGCTAAGGAATTAACTTAACCAAACAAAAACCCTAAAAATACTTTCCACTTGCTTGGAATCTTTCAAATACCCGAAACTTTTGGAATCTCTGGAACATTTGGAAACACTTGAATCCTTTGGAATTTTTAGCAATTAGCATCTTTCCCTCTTCCGAATCTTCCGATCAGCTAAAGAATTACTGAATGATGGATTGGAATCTTACGAATTTACTGTACTTCTTAAACAACTCATTCTTCTGATTGTTGAAATCGATCTTCTTAATCTTCCGATTCCTTCGAATTTTGGAATATTCGAAACCATAGGAGTCTTTAGACTTGTTAGAAAGTGTATGAGTGTCTCGTAATTTTTGGCGTTTTCGCATTGTGGGCCATTTAGAACCATTAAAATACGTGAAATATTCTTGAATATTGTTGGATACTTTCGAATTTTGGGGCTTTTTGAAATTTCTGAAGATTGTGTAATCATGAACATCTTCGGAATCTAAGAACCAGTTATAAGTTCTTCTCTGTCTTGAGAATCGTTTGAACCTTTGGAATATTCGAAATTTGGAAAATCCTTAGAAGTGTTGGATCTCCTGTAAAATGAAAAACCTTCGGAATTTTCGAATTGCATGAAATAGTTAGCGATCTAATTAATTTGGAGGTTGAAAATTTCGTATTTTAAGTGAAGAAGTCGGAAAAAATACTTTTCAAATTGCGTCCAATAAAGTATAATATGTAAAGTGACCTCAAATGCCATGATTTTCGGAGTACCAAAAAAACAAACAAAAACAAAACGGAGAGTTTTAAAAACTGTTCTGCTCCAAAATGAACAGCCCTGCAGACTCTAAAAGAAGAATATTGCGTACAATAATATGAAGATGGCTGTCGCTAGAAAAGAATAAAAAAAACTAAGAACAAAATGAGAGAAAAGAAAGAGAAAAAATTAAGAACAAATAACGACAAAGGGAGATGTGAAAAAAGGGAAAGAGAGCACGGAGAATGGTAAAATAGTAGAGGCGAATGTGAAAGAGGCGAGAACATTTGAAGTCAGGGGAAACAAGGTAATAATACCAAAACTAACATACACGGGAAAAGAAGAGGGGGATTATAGGGGGAAAGAAAAAATTAAAAGGGGATATACATAAATGACGATTTGACATATAATGCGAAAGAAGGGTAGAAAGAGAACTTGGAGAGGTTGCGTAGAGGGAAATAAGAAAGGGCAAGAAAGTAAGATGGGGTTATAGAAAACTAATGGTAGAATATGAAGAATACAGATGGGAATACCAAAGAAAAAGAACTAGAGGGAACAGAGGAGAAGAAAAACGAACTAAAAATGGAGAAGAATATAAACAATATACAATGGAGAGAGGAGAAGAAATGAAGGATTTAAAAAATAAAATAGAAAATATGATAGATAAAATGGAGGAGGAGGGGCTAATATTGGGTGGAGATTTTAATGCCGGAACAGGAATTAAAGGAAAGTGAGAGATGCGAAGAGGAACACAAGATAGAAAATCAACAGAAGGTTTGTAGAATTTTAAAGCGAAATATGAACGGAGATCGGGACGGTCAATTCACATACATGGGAGGAAGAGGGAGGCCGGCAATTGTTTACATAATAGTAAATGAAAAATACTGGAGGATATAGATGAATTTAATGTAGGAACAAGGATATAATCGGATCATCAAACGATGGAATCGAGTCTGATTGGGAGGATGAAAAGATCAAAAAAGACGCAAAAACCGTTAAGGGTATAGAGGGAGACTAGAAGAACCAGTAGAAGAAATAGGAGGGAGTATAAAGGAGGAGTGCAAGAATATAAAGGAGAATATTAAAAAAGTAATAACGTGTAAACAAATAACTGAAGTAGAGGGGAGAGAAAAAAGAAAAGGACTGGTAAAGGATTAACATTATTTTAGTGTGTAACAATGGCACCTCAAAAATTCGGTACAGTTATGAGTATGAAATTCGTCAAATAGTATAAGTGGAAAGATTGTTTGTGCAACGAATTCAATTGAGCAATTGAGATGATGCACCGCCTGAATCTCTTCTCATTCCTTTTTCTTTTCAAACTCTTCCTGGAGCACGAGATTCATTGATAAAACCACTGTATTAATGTCCTCACTCATCCATGGTTCCGTGTAGACTGGACATTTTGACTGGTTCCAATCAACTGGATTCGTATAAGCGTTAATTCACTGGACTCAGTTACTGGAATCCAATCACTGGAGTCCAGCACTGCCTACTTACTAGCCTCGTGTAAACACGAGATTACTTAGAAACGTCGAAGCGTTACCTGTATCTGATTTTTAGGGAAACTTTTCGACAGAAAAAATTGCCCTTATGTGATGGGTTAGTCCGTCTGTTCCTCGTCTAATTCGAGAACGAAGAGAGACAAACCTTCGCCAATCGATTTCTATGAGTTCAAGGATCAGTACTATTGAAACTGAGCCGGATTAAAAGTCGGGTTTCCTAATGCGAGATGTTTTAATTATGTTCGACTGGTACAAAAAAATTCCCGTACTGAAAATCGTATCAGCGGCAGTACACGGAAAGCAGGAGCAAGAGGAATCTATGGAAGAGAGGAGGTTGAAGGAGATGAGATACCAAGAGAAGACCCGAGCACTGAAGAAAGGGAAGGCGGCAGGGAGAGACGAGATTAGGAAGTGAGGCTTAGATTTTTGCAACAGATAGGATCAAGGAAATAAATCTCGAATCTTTATAACTTTTTTCAATTTAATTTATTTTTTAATGTTTGGGTTTATGCAAGTTATGCAATGATACTGAATGAAAGATTAGAAACAGAAATGGAAGAAAAAAGGATGTTGGTGAAAACACAAATGGGTTTCAGAAAATAGAGGGAAACAATCGACTGTATTACACAGATTGTGGGAAAAGGTATTGGAAACCAGGTGTCAAATTCTTGACAGAATAGCTTCCTAGCTGAAACCAAAAATTGCCAACATATGTACGCACTTACAGACGGGAAAAATTGATTCTTTCTTTAAAAGTTGCTTAAAATGGTCTAAAACGTCGACATTTGATGAAATTATGAAATGTTAAAAAAACGGCTATCGCAATAGCTACCTAGCACATGCTAGGAAGCTAATGTTCCATAAATAAGAAAATTGCATTTCTGCGCATGCGCAACACGATTTTTGCGCATGAATTTTGTTTGCTTTTATTAAAGGGACTTACCATAGAAATTTCGTTTAAATTGCTTCAGAAACAAGATCGTTGCGTTTTGCACATATGCAACACAATTTTTTGGACTTGACAATTTTTTTCTCCGTTTTTTGATAATATAACCCGGCCCAATTTTTTGTAGGTTGTACACAGGAAAATAAGGTCTTCCAAATAATAGAATAAAAATTTTAGGTTGCTATTTGAAAAAAAAAGTTCGATGCCGTTACGGCGCTCCAAAATTTTTTTTTCAAAAATCCGGCCCGTTATTTTTCTGTTCGGTATGCCTAAAACATATATACAAAATTTCAACAAAATCCGTCGAGCCGTTTTCTCAGAAAATTGCCAACAAACGTACATACGTACGTACATACAGACGGAAAAGAATTTTATTCTTTAAAAGTTGCTTAAAATGGTCTAAAACGTCGACATTTGATGAAATTTTGAAATGTTCAAAAAACGGCTATCGCAATAGCTACCTAGCACATGCTAGGAAGCTAAAAATGTTTTCCTGTTGTTTTGAATTCTTTGTATTTTTATTTCCTAGTGTAATATCGGTTCCGTGTTTGGCGGTACTAAACAAAATTAACATTAACTTATTTTCTTCCTGGATATTTTGACGTTTATGGTTCCTAAATTTTGGCGGACGTGGAAATCTGGTCAAAATTAACATAATGAAAGATGGGAAAATAGATAGATTCATGGAATTACATGGACAAATAAGATTGAGGGTAAATAAAGGGCTAAGACAGGGACGCCCACGTAGCTCAACCTTATTTAATCTCTACATAAACATAAGAGACGTGGAAAAAGTATTAAGACAAGGGACAAGGTGGAGGGATCGTAGTGGGAAGAAGAAAGACACGGTCCCTGGCATACGCGGACGCCGCAGTGACAGTGGCAAGAAAGGTAGAACAAATGACGGACATGGTAGAAAGAATGGAGAGCTATTGGGAAACGAATGGAACTAAATGTAGAAGAGTCGAAGATGATGAGACTTGGGAAGGGTAGTGGCAGGAAAAGGGAGATAGAGTGGAAATGGACGGGGGAAAGAAGAGATTACAGAAATCAAAAGTTTAAGGTACCAAATACTGAAATAAGGGAATTGTGGGAAAATGGCGTGGTTGCGATGAGACAGGTACAACAATACAGGGAGAAGTAATAATTACAAAGATCTAATAAGAGAGTGGTTACCAAAATATGTATGGGAGGAAATGAAAAATATTAATCTAATGGCGAGATTCAGATGTGAAAATAAGGAGAAACAAAAAGAGAATGTAAAATATGTAAAGAGCATGTTATGAAATTGCCTAGAAGTGGAAAAAACTGGGAGAAGTATGAGGTAGGAGAGGCTGGAAGAATGGCAGAGATAAGAGGTAAGAAGTGGACGAAGAAGATATTAAATAAAAGAGAAGAAAAAACCGCATTTTTGTTTTGGTTATACTTTATATTGTAAAAAGTTGCCAACTATTACACTCTTCCATTAAAAGTAGTCCAGGGCATTGGCCAAGGGGAGAGACTTAAAGGTCATACCCGCAAACTTAGGCTGGTTTCCTTCTTCTACCAGGATGTAACGGTTTCTGGGAACAAAATTTGGGAGAAACGCAAATTTTGAGCGAAGCTGCTGTTACCTTTGAGTATAAAATTAGTATATTCAAAGGTTGTTACGTTTGAATATAAATTATTCAAAGGCTGTTACATAATGTTTAGTAGTTTATTGACTGACACAGTAGACGTTTCCGTTTATTTTAAACAAACACACTTTTGTCACACCTCTGTCTTTCAAGTAGCAGAATGAAAAAGGTTTACTTACGAAACGAAACATAAAAGAACCGCAAATAAATGGGTCTTCGATGACGACTCTGCTCTAACGAGCGTAGTAATTCCCTTATGGCAGTATGGGCAGGTAAGCGTTGCGCTGTTCGGTCCGAAGGAAGCTGGCGTAGACATTACTGGAACACAAATTACAATGTAAATAAATTATCAGCGTGCGTGATTCGAAAATGTATTGTAAACGAACGCATGCGGCGTCCTTGTCAAAGTATTACATCATAACCAGTAATGTTAATTATTTTTGCATGGTTAATGTATGTGGCGGAAATGGTACTACGTGAATAGTTGCTGTAAAATATGTCGAGAATTTCTATGTACATCATAATTGAGGGTAATGCGCAGCATCCGGTAGACGAATCAATTCGGATATTTAAAAAATTCCCATGCACTTCGTTCAAAAAATCGCCCCAAATGTTTCATCCAACTTCACAAGATAGACGAAATATTGGCCGAGGTCACAACTCGAACCTTGAAAAGGCGTGGGGGTGTTCGGCTCTAGTACAAAACGTAATTTGGCTATAGAAAAAGTTGTAATTTGCTTGCCAATTTACATTCCTTGGCATCTGTTTAATATATCGGCTCGTTTTTATCTATTACCATACAATTTCTTTACCTGCTTACAAAGTTGAATTAGATCAGGCTCACCAAAATCGCAATTCAATGTGTCCAAGACTAAAAAAACCTAATTTTGATGGTCGCTAATAGCAATGTGTTGGTGTGTTGGTGGTGTTGGTGGAACTGCAGCTGTCTAAGACAAGGACTTAATATTTTCAATTTGTCACGGTACCTACCTGCTACAAATCCACATAGCAGACCTATATGCATTGCATATATCATGTACAGTATGTCGCAAATGTTCGATGTATGTGCATGGGATATAAGTTTGGTAGACTTCACATAATACATAGTATATACGTTTTGGATGTCTTATGTATATGCATGTATATGCATCAGACATGCTATGTATATTGGTATACTGACAACTGGATATAACATGAATATTCTTTTAGAAGACAGATATATGTGAACACGTAGTTAAAACAAGATTATAATTATTTGTCATAAAAATACACTGACAAATTTTATTTTAAAAACAATTACTCAATCTCTCAGTGCTAACTGATCTATTTAAAAATATTTAGTGTTGCTATTTTTCTCAACATATTCCTGTAATATGCAAAAGATATTCAATAGGATATTCTATGTATGTTGTATACATTCAGAATGGATGTTCTATAGAGATTCCTCTAACATTCGGGAAGTTTACTAGCGTCCATACCAGAGCTGGGCAGTATTCGATTTTGTAAATACTTTTTAGTATTCAAGTCCTTTAAAGTATTCAAATACTTTGTAATTAAATACTTTTATGGAAGCAGTATTTGTATTTGTAACTCAAATACTTTCACAAATATTTAGTCAATTTCGAAAGAAAATTCAAAGGGCTGTAACTTTTGAACTAGTAGCCCAATCTTGGAACTATTTGAAATTATGGATTCTACAAGCCACATTCTATAAGAAAATCTTTTTTCCGGGTCGTTCAGAGACAATTTTTTTTTCGGGCCTCAAAAAAGGCAGTGTATAACCTTCCTTTTTTACCAAAAATCGACTGCACCAAAATTTCTCGGGAAAACACTTTTTCTTATTAATTTTGGTGCGTAAAATCCAAAACAATTCGTACTTTTTCGATCAGACTTCTCAATCAAAAGTTATAGACTAGAAACCAATTTCGAAAGAAAATTCAAAGGGCTGTAACTTTTGAACTAGTAGCCAATCTTGGAACTGTTTGAAATTATTACTTTTACTCCCCTTAAATTTGTATATAACAATAGAAATATAAAAAAAAGCTAACCCCAAGTAGTTTACATTTTTAATGTATTTGAGTCACAAGTATTTGAATACTTTTTACTGTATTCGAATACTTTTCAAAGTATTCCGGACGCTAACCGTGTAGTAAACCGATGGCAACTATGAAACAGTGATAAAACACAACAAGTTAAAAAGTAATCGTAAACGATTTACATAAAGCGCATTTCCACTTGCATTCATTTCCCATTTGTAAGATGCAACTTCTGTTAAAATCGTAGAAATCCGGCCACAAATACGAAAGATAGCATTGCACATGGGCAATCCATTGTTGACGTGCTACTTCAATTTCAGTTTATGAGAAGAATTTCATTTCAATGCTTTTCTAAATAAGAAAGTTGGAACTGCGCATGCGAAAACCTCAATTTTAAAACTAATGTTAGATTTTCCTTTGTTCCAAGCGCCTAAGTATCAAATTTCACTTAAATAGTTCCATAGATAAAAAAGTTGGCACGGCGCATGCGCAAAACCAAATTTTGAAATTGGCGTTTGATTTTCCTTTATTCGAAGTGCTTATGTATCAAATTTCGTTTAAATTCTTTCATAAATAAAAAAGTTGGCACTGCGCATGCGCAAAACCAAATTTTGAAATTGGCGTTTGATTTTCCTTTATCCCAAGTGCCTATGTATCAAATTTCGTTTAAATTCTTCAATAAATAAAAAAGTTGGCACTGCGCATGCGCAAAACCAAATTTTGAAATTGGCGTTTGATTTTCCTTTATTCGAAGTGCTTTTGTATCAAATTTCGTTTAAGGTTTTTTTTATTTGTAGCGATACTATAATCATATGCAACGTGTAGGTACCAAAATCACGCAAGGAGTTCAAGGATCAGGCGATAAACCTTAATTTTGTTTCTAGGAAAAAATGCGACAAATTTAACTGGAAAATTGTCGCGTTTGTTACAATTTGCCAGTGCACTTAAAAAAAAATTTGGTGACACTTACCCATAATCCAGGGAAAGATAGGAAGACTTTATTTATTGGGCTTCGTAAGCACCAAAGATGTTATCATGACCCTGGCCAAAATGAGTTGAGGATGAGTAACGAGTCCAGTTTGGTGCTCTAGGTGTTGTTTAAAGTTAATTTTATGAGATGGGATGTGTTTTTTTCAATTTTGTTTAAAATATTGGATTCGTTAATATCAGTGAAAAAACTTCCAGAATTTTTTTCGCGAGCTTCTTGAGGCTCCCTGAAAACCTGTGTGTATTGTAGTATTTTGGGACTTTCAAACCAAATGCGTTTTGGGCCCCTCAATTATCAAATTTCACATACCATACAAGATCAATTCTGTAACGATTAAAAAAGAGCAGAATTAAAAGCAACAAAAAAGCGGGGCGAAATGCAAAAATTCGGCATTTTAGCTACAAATTTAAGGCAACCTTTTTGAAATCGAAATATACGGGGTGGCGTATTGAAAACAAAACAGAGCTATTTTCAGGTAGTATTGAATTTTCGAAAAAGCAATAAATTTAAAAGTATTACCACAATACAATAATGCTTTCAATTAAATGAGGTCAATTATTTTAAATTTGAGATTATTTCCACCTTGAACCTACATTCGCTGTTTGTGTCAAGGTTTTGAGGCAAAACAGTCTTGAGATCTCACTTTAGATTCTGTAGTTTGTTGAGATTATTCAGACCCCTCCTCTATTTAGGATTTTGTAGATTATTTTAGGTTTTTAGGTTTAGGTTTATGATGGTTTTTTCCGTCTACCCGTCTGTTCCTCTCCTAACTTGAGAACGAAAAGAGACAGCGATATCAACCCAATTGATTTCCATGAGTTCAAGGATCAATGCTATTGAACATGAGTCGGATTAAAAGTCGAATGCGAGGATCAAAAAATTCCCCTATCGTATGCGATCCTTCGTATCTTGTTTCTTATTCGTATTCTTCACTTCCGTTATCCTTTAAAATCTTCAATTCTTCGAATTTTTCAAAATTTTTCACTTCTTTGGATTTTTCCGAAGATTCATCAATCTACAAAACTTCCTACGATTCTAGGATTCTTCCATTTCCTTCTGCGTTAATTTAATTTCAAATCCTATAATTCTTCCTATATTTCAGGTTGTTCAGATTCCTCTGTTGCTTCAAAATTGTTCAATTCTTCGGATCCTTTAAATTCGTTATATTCACAAGATTCTTCAGCTACTTTGAATTTTTTCCATCCTGAAACTCTTATTACTCCGATTTTTGGATTCATGCGACCCTTCAGATGAAGAAGAGTGGGTTTAGAAAGAGCAAGAAAGTGGAATAGAAGGGGAAAGGGGGTGAATTGAGGAGAGAAGAAGAGAAAAACGTGAAGAAATCTAACATGGGAAAAGAAGTAGGTGGTTATGAGGAGAAAGGGAAAGTTAAAGGGTAGCGGGATATACATAGATGAGGAGTTGACATATGAATAAAGAAGGGTACGAAGGGAAATCAGGGAGGTTTCGGAAAGAGAAACAACAAAGGGCAAAAAAGTAAGATGGAGGTAAACTAATGATAGAAGATGAAGACTACAGATGGAGTACCTACCATACCACAGACAAAGGATTAGTGGGAACACAGAGGAAAAGAACGGGAGAGGAAACGGCGGGGTTTAGAGAAAGGAACTAACAGCAAAAGAGAAGATAGAGAGGGAGGGGGCACAGACACAAACAACAGAAGAAAACAGAAAAACCAAATAAAAATGGAGAAGGGCAGCATGAAAATGATTTCTGGGATATCGCTGGTAAAGGCGCTCAATTCCTGGAGTTTGTAAGAGGATATGATGTCGTGGATAAAACAAAAGAATTGGGAGAAAATAAAGAACAGGATTCCGAACAAAAATATATGGCGAAGAGGGACGAGCAAAAGGAAGGTAACGACAGGGGTTAAAAAGGGAGAAGGGAATGAAACGAAAGAGGAGAAATGAATACAGGTCAGACGAGTGGAGGTGGAGGGAAAGAAAGAATTAAAGGAAAATTGGTAGAGATGGGAAAGGGATCACAAGATAGAAAATTAAGGGACAAAGAGTGCAATAAAGAGGGAGAAGTGCTACTGAAATTATCAGAAAATAGATGTTGAAGAAAATTATGGTGATAAAGATTTACAACAGCGCAGGAATAAAGGACTTAAAAAGTAAAACAGAAAATATGGTAGGACAGAGGAGTAGTGGGACAAAGAGTGTGTAGAAGAGAGAAATAGATATAGAAAGATGATGGAGAAAGAAAAAAGAAGGGAAATAGAGGAGAAAGAGGCGAAGAACAGAAAAAATACACAAGAAAATGCAAACAAA